ATTGCGTAAAAAACTGAAGAAGCTCGAACGGGAAGAGACCAAAGCGGTTAAGAAACCTTCGGCCGCCATTGTGGTAGGCGAAGCACAAGGTCAAAAAGACGATAGAGAAATCGGTAAGTAATAAGGAAAAATGTGCTCGTGCTCGTAAGCGTCTCGGCGATGAGCCTCCACTAGAGGGAGGACATATCGCGCGCTCGGAAGAGAGTAAATCTCTCGGCGATGAGCCTTCACTAGAGGAAGGACATATCGCACGTCTGTAAAAGAAAAATCTCGCGGCGATGAGCCTTCACTCGAGGGAGGACAAATCGTACGGATAGCGAGTCAGCTGCATATTTCTTATTGTTTTGCTTGATATATTTTCATGGCAGCTGCCACAAGGAAGGAAGCAGACCTTGTGAAGGACGCGAGCGAGGAGAGGCCCTCTCAGTCCTCTCGTTCCTCTACGTCAGTTGACGCGTCAGATACTGACGAGGAAGTTGGAACGGACGCGGACGTAGAGGTTATAAAAGACGAGGCGATAGATACTGCGGTGAGCAGCCTCAGTAACGAGACTCGAGAGAGACTTTGCCTCAAAGCAGAGCCGGCGCGGTCGACGGATATCGCCCTGCACCCCACGCTGATTGCAGAATGGATGAACTGGATGCGCAAAGGCCTCTATGAAGGGGATGAAGAAGACGACAAGAAACGTGAGGAGGAGGAGAGTAAGCTACGCGAGGAAATCATGAAAAAATTTCCTAGAGGGGGAGCGTTACAAGCAGAAGCTCCGAAACTCAACCCAGAAGTTCTGGCTTACATGTCAGTGACTGCAAAGAGCAGGGACAAGCATTTTGTCTCTTCGCAAAACGCTTTAGGCTCGGCGATAGTAGCTATGGGCGAAGCTATCTCCTTAATTCTCGAACTGGAAGAGGATGAGGCCTCGAGTATCCTGTTGCATTTTTTGGGAAATGCAGGCAAGCTGTTAGCAGGCTTGCATTATCAGCAATCGGTAACGAGGAGAGCGTTTATCTTGCCAGGTATCGAGGAGAAATATCGAGATCTGTTGAGGAAGTCGGATATTACGTCCGAGTTATTTGGCAAGGATCTGTTTAAGAGGCTTAAGTATACAAAATCCTTGGGCAAAGTAGTAGAGGATCTCACTCCGCACCAGCAATCCAAGAAGTATCCAAAGACTTCTAACTGGGGAAACCGGAGAAGCCTGCAGAGGAAGTCCAAGGGCCACTCACAGCAGGCTCAAAAATCAGGCCCTCAGAGATCCCTGCGTTTCAAAGATCGCCAGAGGAACACTTATTCGAACAAGCATGCGCCCACAAGGTCGACAAGGTCATACCGGTACAATCGTTAGAGGTGAGAAATGTGGCTGGTCGTTTAAAGCACTTTACTAAAGAATGGCAATCAATCACCAAAGATAAATTTGTACTTAACTGTATTAAGGGTTATAAGATCCGGTTTACGTCTCAGCCTTGTCAGACGCTAGTCCCAAAGGCACCACTGTTACAGGGTTCACAATCCCTCGATGACGTCAGTGAGGCAATAAATAAACTCTTGAGGCTCCCACAGACCGAACGCGTCAAGCGTCAAGCAGCGAGCAGTAACCAATCAGCGAGACGATATTTTCTACGCCACTGCTGATATCACCTCACTGATTGGGTTCAATTGGGTTGCTGCTCGCTGCTTGACGCTTGACGCGTTCGGTCTGTGGGAGCCTTTGGTGTTAGGGGCCATTAGACCGTGTACGCCGGAAGATCCTCAGTTTGTGTCTTCGTACTTTCTAGTTCCGAAATCGGACGGAACTTTCAGATTTGTTTTAAATTTAAAGAAACTTAACGAATTTATAAGGACAAAGCACTTTAAATTAGAAGACGGTCGTACAGCGGAAAAACTAATCTCTAAAAACGATTTTTTAGCAAAGTTAGATCTAGAGAATGCCTATTTTTTGATACCGGTAGACGAAGATTCTTCTAAGTACTTAAGATTCATTTTCCAGGGCCAATGTTTCGAGTTTTTATGTATACCTTTCGGTCTTAATGTGGCTCCTCATGTGTTCACTAAGGTCTTAAGACCAGTCGTGAACCATCTGCGTAAGAGAGGTCTTTCTTCAGTTACATATCTAGATGATATGTTGTTCGTGGCGTCCTCTAGACAGGCGTGTATAGATAATGTAAAAACCTCGATTGAACTCTTGGAATATTTAGGCTTTATTATTAATTATAAAAAAAAGTAGCTTGGAACCGAGTCAGAGAACGGAGTTTCTGGGAATAACGTACAATTCCGTGACGATGACATTGGAATTACCAGAAGATAAGAAGCAAAAGATACTCGATCTTTTGAAGAAATTTGTTCCCGGAAAAACGGTCTCTCTTAGGCAATGGTCAAGCTTCGTCGGTTCAATTAACGCATGCTGCCCAGCGGTTAAATACGGTCGATTATATACTAAAGGATTCGAACGTGTCAGATATTAAGGATTGCTAAAAAATGATAACAATTATGACGCGAAAATCTGTCTCCCAGAAAATCTCGAGCCAGATTTCAGATAGTGGAAGATAAATATTACAAAATCCTCGAATCCTATTAGACAAGGAAACTATAAGCATGAGATTTTCTCTGACGCGTCCACCACGGGATGGGGCGCCTTTTGTGAGGGAAATAAGGCTCGAAGTTTTTGGACAGAAAACGAACGAAAATGGCATATTAACCGTTTGGAGCTCAAAGCAGCATTGTTTGCTATAAAAAG